GAAGCGGAGGGTCACGATTTCGGGGACATCCCAGTTCATGAGCCCAATGGCATGGCCACTGCTTCTGTTCTACCTCCTGGCTCATCACCAAGCGCCTGGGGTCTTAAAAGCTTGCCAGGGCCCATCTGAGGCGCAACAATTGGTCTTTGCTCACCCGGAGCAGAGGGACAGAGGGTCAGACGGAAAGCTGGCCCATAAAAGCCTGCCTCCTTCGCCTAGACAACAGGCGCACCGAGTGGTGGCCAGCTGAACACTGATCAAAACCTCCACAGAAGAACCCCGATCAGAAGGGCAGGGATACCAAATCGAATTTCAGACATTCACGGGCTGGAGACTTCCTGGAGACAAGGCGGCTGAAGGAGCCCCTGAGATCAACTGTAAAACATAAACCAGCAACAACCCCCGCAGTCGTCTGCAAACCCAACAGAGTTAAGCGCAGCTCCCACAGTGAACCGTGTCTGCCTCGGGCAGTGGGCCCCAGAGATGAGGGACTATCTGCCTCGAACACAAGTGACAACGGCAACCTGAAAGATTAGGAAAGAGCCTTCCGGAGCCGCGAGCCCAGGAGAACAGCAGCACAGCTGCAAGAATGTCCTCAATGTCGCTGACTTACACTTGCAGGAGCGATTCACCGGGTGTTTGTTACGGTAGACCAAAGGTTTCAGAAAGGGGAAAGAAAGAGCTTGAATGCAGATCTATCCCGTGAGCGAGACATCCTGCGCCAGGCAACAGACCCAGGAGACGTGAAGGCGAGAAGGCAAACAGAAGCCAATGTGCCGGTGTTCACCACAGTCCTTTCCACCGTGGCCCAGAAAGAGGTGGGAGCTAGCCGTGTGTCCATCAGCAGACCATGGACAGACACCATGTGATGGGCCCACAATGGGATGCTCCCCGGCCATGAAGAGAAATGAAGTCCTGACTCGTGCCACCACACGAAGGAAACCGGGCAAGGTCACAGTGAACGAGAGGGGTGAGCCACCGGAGGACAAAGCCCGTAGCTCTCTCAGCTGTGAAAGAAGCAGATGCGTGCAGGGGAGGTTGGGGCAAAAGCGTAGCTCCTACAAGGAGCAGAAGAAACAAGTGTTCCTGATACAGCTACTGGCCTGACAGGGAGTGGTCCCTCTATGCCAAGGCACCCCTACAGGAGGTTTTTTGCATAAAGGCTAAAGGTTGTTGCATGCAAATTCAGACCATTGAGCCCACAAGCCAGTACACTTGGGAAGGCCCCAATCTAGGCCAGGGGGCTTAATTCCAGCCAATGGGGGTCAACCAGTACCTTCAACCAGGCCTCTCAGCAGAGGGCCCTGAAAGCCGGGATCGGGAGCCCCCACCCTCTTTTCCAGCTGCTCCTGGGCCGTGCTGCGGTTTCCTGGACTCAGGCCGACACGACACGTGTGGGTGTGCAGTACCATAGGGTGCCTGTGTTCAGTTTACCATAACGCCAGAGTCGGCTTCTATCCTTTATAAACAACCACTTGGATCACAACCCAGGCTTTGGTGTGAATTGTATCTCGTGCGATGCCAAGGACGGAGGCATTTCTCACCCAAGAACCCTAACATTTCCATGGGCTCGAGTAGAGAGAAAATGCTTTGAAAATGATGGTGGAAGCGTATGTGCAAATGCAACTGATACAAGGGATGTATGGATTACTCTAAGAGCTGAATGAACCCCCAATGGGAAAAAAAAGTGTTCTAAAATTTATTGCGGTGACTACATGCAACTCTTTAATTGGATTAAGCCATTGAATTGTATATGTGAACTCCATGCTAATAAAGCTGTTTAAAATTTTTTTTTAAGATACATAGAAACCAAACATCATCCCTGATCACCAGAGGTGGCTGAGAAGGGAAAGGAAGGGGTGTAGGAAGCTTGCTTAGGGGGCTTTGAGGTTATACTCATGGTGGTGGGAGATGTGGAAAAGGCTGACAAGAAGGGCTAAGCAACTTGAGGGCTGCCATCAACGTCTCTGAATTGTAGGTGCGGAGAAACCCGTTACCATGGCGAATGTTTTCTTATGTATATTTTTACCACAATTAAACACACAAAGACACGCAGCCTCCCGGACAACATGCTAACACTTCTTTTGGATTCCTGATGTTTTCCATACAAAATGACTGCTCGTCAGCTAGCTCATTCTCTCTCTCTCTCTCTCTCTTCCAGGTTCCACAGGGTTACAGGTGGTCTCAGTCCAGGGTGCACAGAGCTGCAGGGGCACCCAGGAAGGTGGCAGGGTGCTATGCTGGAGACCTCGGGCCAGGTCCCTGCTCACTGGGGTGAGGTCCTGCCTGGCGTGAGGACTGACCCTCCCCTGAAGCACCAAGTGGACAAAATACACCAGGGACAGTTTCAAGATATGAAAGCTCAAGCATCTACAAGAGTCACCCCCGAGAGACAGGGAGCTGCAGGGAGAGCCCTGTGACGGCCAGGGAAGGTCCCGGGCCGGGGAGCAGGAGGACCCTCTGCCTAAGCAAGCCCCGAGTTCCAGGAAGACACAGGCGGCTGGGCAGTAGGGGGTAGCTTCCCAGAGGAGGAGCCAGGAGCCCTGCAGAGCCACCCCAGCTCCCCACCAAAAAAAAGCAATTCACCTGCAGAGAAGAGGTACAGAGGATGAGGGGGCGCTGCGTCTTACCAGGCACAGTGAGCTAGGGACAGTGCCTGTTCTGACTAGCCAGACTGGACACCCCAAGAGGTATGTGGCACGCAATACAGCCTGATGGTTTACCTCATTCAACAAGCCAAAGTTTAACCCACTGCCGGCGAGTCAGTCCCAACTTGTAGCAGCCCCGTGGAGAGAGCAGATCCTTCCAGAGGGTTTCCACAGCTGGAAGCTGACTGCCATCGGAGCAGCGAGGGCTCAAACCAGCCACCTTCCATCACCGACCCCCATGGCGGCGCGGCAGCAGCTCTCAGGAAATCGACCGGCCTAGTGCATCTTGCGCTGGGTAAATCTGCTGCAAAAGGCCTCCTGTAATTGCTAGGGAACAGAATGTCATTTTGAGGAAGGACTAAGGTGCGCCTTGGTCTCCTCCTGTGCCTGTGAAAGTTGGACAGCAAACAAGGAAGACGGAAGAAGCACCGATGCCTTTGAAGGGCGTTGCTGGTGTGAAGAACATTCACAAGCACCACGCACTGCCAAGAGAACAAACAAGTCTGTCCTGGAAGAAGTGCAGCCAGAATGCTCCTTACAGGAAAGGGTGGCGAGACACATGAGCAAGAGAGGCCAGTCCCGGAAGAAAGACAGCCTGCTTGGTAGACTAGCACTCTCTAAAAACTCACCGTCATCGAGTCAATTTCAGTTTATAAGCAGAGGGACAAGGACAGAGATGAGCATGTTCACCAAGTCGGATGGACACAGTGGCTGCAGCCCCGGGCTCAGACCGGGCAGCGTATCATTCTGTTACAGGGCACCTCCGGCCACCGCTCACAGGCGTTCAGGCAGAGCACTCTTAGCTCCTGAGGGGGCTCACCTTGCTTCGTGAGGGCTTCCCGCAGGGCGGGCGTGATCATCGCTCGTCTCTCCAGGTCCTCCGGCTGCCCAGTGCGGCCCAGCACATGGCTGCTCCCTTCCAACGGCTCCTTGTCTTTCTGAAGGAAAGCAAAGCCAATGGGGTCCTGAAGTAACTGAACCCCGGGCTCCCAGAGCGATTGAGGACCAACCAGACAGGCTCACCTGTAAAAGACACACGTCACTCATAATCAGACACACCTGCCCACAGAACACACAGCAACAGCCCCCTCTGTCTAGGTGATCAGCACATCTTCCCAACCTGGAGCACAGATAACTGCCAAGCCTTGGCAAGTTACTTATTTCCTCTGGATTTCCGTTTTCCTTTTCTGGAAGGAACAAAAATGCCCCCTGCTTGGAGCAGGCACCCTGTGATGATGTCCCACAGCGCCTCACGGGTGACTGACAGACACTCCTAGGCCTGGCGACTACAGCCGGGCTAGGGCTGCGGACGGAGCCTGGCAGAGTAGTCAGTAAGCACGAGGTCTGTGTTTGAACCCACGAAGCTGCATTTGGGGATTACCAGGTCTTCTGAGGCACCTCAGGGTGAGTTTGAACGGCCAACCTTTTACGGCGGGTAGTCAAGGGCTTCGTCCTTTGCACCCCAGGGCCTCCTGGGTTGAGCTGGGCTCCTAGGCGCAAGGTCAGCAGGTGGAGACCCCCCCAGCTGCTCTGCAGGAGGAAGATGAGGAGGTCTGCTCCCGTCAAGATGTGGGGGCTGGGGGACCCACAGGGGCAGTTCCACCCCGTCCCAGAGGGTCGCTGTGAGGCAGCATCACTCCCTTAGCAATGGAGGCTTAGTGGGGGTTTTTTATATAGTTCCCACCCATCAATTGACAGGGAAGGCCTGCAGGACCCTCCCCCAGCTTTCTGCTGTAGTTCACGTCCCCTCACAGCCCCAAGGGGTCCTGGGTGGGGCAGATGGATGACATGACAGGCTACTGACTTAAAGGTTGGCAGCTGGAATCTACCAGGAGGTGATTCCAAAGAAAGGCCTGGCGATCTTGGAGACATGAGCATTGGAAGCCCCTGACCCTGTGTGGTGCGGTGCAGTGCGGTGCAGTGTGAAACATGAGTCTGCCAGCCAGAGTCCCACCATAGGACCCTGTCCTGCTGGATGTGGGTGGGAGGCGGTGGGAAGGAGTGTCCACAGAGGACATGTGACTGCCATCTGCCAGGTAAGCAACATCCACGTCAGGAACGGAGAGGTGGGTTCTCAGGACCAGCAATAGCCAAAGAGAAGAGGCAGGGTAGTGTCCTCTGGACTCCAAAGCCCCTGCCCATCGACCTTTCTTGCTCCAAGAGACGGCGGTGGTACCAGAGCAGCAGCAGTAGCAAAGAGCCAGAGCACGAGACGGAGTGGTTGAGCTCCCAGCCCCGGAGCAAGAACAGCCGAGTGCTGGTTTGCAGAGTGGAGTGCTCTGGGCACTTAACTGGGAAAGGCTGGATTACTGACCCAGGGAGCTGGAGCTGAGCATCTTTGGGCCGAAGCTCATGATGGGGTGGCATATCCTTTGGGCATTTCTGGGCAGCACTAAACGAGTTCTGTAGACATGACTTCAAGAGCAGGGCAAAAGCCAATGGGGCGCATGTCTGGAAGCCCGCACAGCAGAGAGAGGCCAGCCTGCAGGCCCACCCACCAATGAACGGTCTTGTCTGAATGGTATTCGCCCCATTGCTGTGATGATGGCCTGTGTGCTGTGTGCCCCTGCAGGGAACCGCTGACGCCCGTGGGAAAGCAGAGTGCCCTGTGGGACGGGCAGCTGGTGTAGGACTGGTGAGGGTGGAGGGGGTAAGAAAGGCCCCGTAAGATGAGGTCTTGGGCAACGCTGCTATGGAGTCGGATCCTCGCACACATACCCCTGCCCTCTGTGAAGTCAGGACGTCACCCCCTCATTCCTGCTGGTGCTGATGCCCACGCCAATGCCCACGCTGATGCCCATGCAACACTGCAGCCTGGTACCCCAACCCCGACTCCCAGCGCTTCCCTCCTGCTCTCTGCTCTTGGGGCTCTCTTCCTGCTTCCAGATCTCTGCCGCCCTAAAGTCACTGTGGGAGAGCCTCCGTGGAGGACGAGGCAGGACTCCCTGATGGCATCCGAGTGGGGCCAAGCCTACGCCTGTTTGAAGGCGTCGTAAACAATGCCAGTGTAGCAGTTGGCTCGCTCGGCTCAAAGCCACCAGCAACTCAGCTGGAGAGAAGACCCAGCCATGTGGCCCTGAAGAATGACAGCCTGGGAAGCCCTGGGGGCCACTGGACTCTACCCTCAAGGGGAGCTGAGCGTCAGAGTGGCCCACAACACCACACCTATAACTGGCGACAAAGACGTTTCGATTGACCCCCCTGACAACAATCACGTGACTGTCCTCCCCTCCCTCCCCCGCCCGGTTTGCAGATGAGGCAGCCAAAGCGGAGGAGGAAAACCACTTGCCTGCAGACGCACAAGGTGAGGCCACCTGGGTTAATAACAACACCGAGGGCGGTTCTGACTCACAGCGACCAGCTGGGCAGAGTGGGGCTGCCTCAGAGCACTCCCGAGGCTGTCCGTCTTCAGGGGTACAGGCGGACAGCCTTGTCTTCCTCTCTAGCTCTGCCCAGGAGCCCCGGTGGTGGGGTGCTTATGCATTGGGTTGCTTAGCGCAAGGTCAGGAGTTTGAGACCACCAAGGGCAGTTCTACCCTGTCCTGTATATGGGTCACTATGAGGCAGTCCTGACTCGATGGCAGTGAGTGAGTTTGGTTTTATTTCGGGGTTGGGTAGGGGTTGGGGGCCTAGCTCTAGAGCGGAAAGGTGGGTGGCTCACTTTTTTCTCGGCCGCCCGCTAGTGGCCAGCCACAAGAGGAAACGGCCAAGAACGGAACACCTGCAAATTTCCCCAAAACTTCTCTCCCACTTCTCCTGCCCTGGGGAAAGTCCAGAGACCCACCTAGATCAGCTTCCTGTACGTCAACAATCGGGAGTTTCAGACTTTGAAATCTATCCCATTTGGGGACATTTTCACCACTGACATCTACTAGGAGTGCATTAAGAGCGACGTGTCTCATCAGCACCCACTGCGGGGGAGTCCATTCAGGCCCCGTGGGACAGAGTAGAGCTGCTCCACAGGGTTTCTGAGACTCCGTCTTGATGGAAGGGGATCCCTCCCAGCAGCTGGCGGGTTCAAACCGCCGACCTCTCAGTTGGTGGCCCAATGCTGAGCCCAGGGCTCCTTCCCACCTGCCTCAGACTGTGCCCTTGACTGAACACGACGTGCTGTTTCCCCGGCTAGATTCAGTGAACGGTTGTGACACACACACACTGCCCAGTCGTCACGTACTTCTTGCTACCACAAGCCAGGAGATACAAGGTCAAGTTCAACTGCTAACGAGGCTGCCAGAGGTGACTGCCTGGCACAGGTAAGAGCCATCTGAGCCCCCTGTTCTGACAGGGTGCATTTCTCTGCTTAAGATCGCTCAGTGAATTATAAGCTTTGGGATGCTCTGTTTTGCTTTGATGCAGGTCTAAGTGGTAGTGTTTCTAGGATTATGGCTTGGGCTGCAAAGTGCAAGGTCAGCAGTTCAAAACCATCAGCCGCTCCATGGAAGAAAGAGGAGGCTGTCTGCTCCCATAAAGATTCACAGCCAGAATCCCACAGGGGAGGTTTACCCTGTCCTACAGGGTCACTGTGAGTTGAAATCGACTGTATAGCAGGGAGTTTGTTTTATTTTTGAAGCCAGGTGAGTACCTATTGTTCCCCTCGGAATTCCACCCACCGCTCATTTTAATCAATTATTACCCTGGGGACTGCAAAGGAATTTTCCCATCTAGCAGGCCTGGAAGCCACCTGTAAAGGTATTAGCCTGACCTTTACCTTGCTTTTTGAGCAATACAAAGATGTTCCCTTCCTTTCTTTTTCGTAATTCGATGTGTAAGTCCCTCCTGGGTCCCTCTACCTTGACTCCATCAGATTCTGAGGGCCCCCTTGCTCCCTGCTCTGTAAATCCCCCTTCTCCACCCCGAGCAGCCGTTTCTCCAGAGAGCCCTCAGTCCCTCAGAGCAGGGGTGGGAATGTTTGGCCTGAGAGCCATAGATAGTCCACAAACCATCCGGAGCAGCTACCCTCACCAGCTGGCCAGCACCACACCACACCAAACTCCCTGCCACCCAGGTGACTCCAAGTCCCAACCACCCTGCAGGAGGAGGCAGAGTGCCTGTGGGATTCCGAGGCTGTTGCTCTCTTTACAGCAGAAAGCCGCGTCTTTCTCCTGGGAGCAGCTGGTGGTTTCAAACTGCCAACCTTGTGATTGGCAGTACTCCCCCAGGGGTCCTAGCCATCACACTGGGTGGGTTCCTGAAACGTGTGACCAGGACAGCCCGAGGACGATGTCACCAATATCCAAAGGGCTCTTGGCAGGAGGAAGCGCTTCCCACGGTAACGATACCTTTCCTTTCTTCACGCGGCCCACGATGTGGCCCAGGTCCTCGACGTCGACGACAGGACTGAGGCTCGGGGGGTCGTCGGGGTCACTCTCCTCACTGCAGCTCTCCAGGCGCCCCTCCTGCTGGGACAGGGCAGCTGCCATCACTGTGTGCCAGGAAGCAAAGCAAGTGTGCGAGCTCCCCGTCTGCTAAGGAGCGCCTGCCATGCCACCCTGCGGCGGGGCTCTCTCCTGCCACCAACAGCTGCAGACTCGGGAACTCACACACGGGGCAGTTCTGCCCTGTCCTGCAGGTCACACAGGCAGCACTGACTCCGGGGCAGGGAGTCTGGGGGTTTGCGGCTGCTGGGACTGTGGATCCCTGCAGGGAGACAAGCCCAGGAGACCAGGACCCTGGGGAAGAAAAGGCACTGGTTCTTCTGAAAAGACAAGGGTGATTCCTTGAGCAGTGGGATTAAAAGATGGGTTCTGCTGATGACACGGGGCAGGGAGCAGGGGTCAGACAGTGAGAGCCGCAACTAGGCCCCCACCCCCGCCATGGAGGCGACGCCGGCACAACCCCACAGGACAGCGAGATCTCCCAAGACTTTCTCCTTTCCGGCGTTCCGCCTCAGATCCCTTCCCAGGCGTGGCTGGAGCGTTTGAACTGCCGACCAGCATGTCCACCACAGAGCCACCAGGGCTCCGTGGAACAGTGACAGACGGGGACGCAGAAGGGCAGGCAGGCTGTTGGAATGTCCAGATGCCACATGAGACCCAGGCGATGGCAGGAGCGCAGGCACTGGGCAGGCAAGCAGCTAGGATTCGGGTTTGGTACCGGGGCCACCAAGAGTTTGCACGACTGAGTCCTGGTCGTGGAGGGAGGAGCCCGAGAAAGGGCCGTAGCCAGGGAGCTGGTGGGTGCAGCAGACACCACCCACCCGGGGACTCACCAAGCAAGACTGATGGGAATGAGGGAGGGAGGGAGGGAGGGAGGGAGGAAGGAAGGGACCAACACCAGAGTTGGACGCCAATGCTGACCGAGTGACGCCAAGTGGCGGGGTGTGTAGACCACGGCACAGGACAGGACTGAGATGGGAGCTTCAGGGGACCTGGGGTCTCTGAAGGAGGAGGAGGTGTGCTGAGGACGAAAGGGGTCAGGGAGCTGCAATAGACGG